CTGTTGGGACCATCCACAACTTTTACTGTGGAAACAGAAACAATGCGACTAAAGCAGAAAAAGCTAAAGCTCGGTGGAAACTGCTGCTGTGTGTGTGTGTGTGTGTGTGTGTGTGTGTGTGTGTGTGTGTGATGAGGAACATGCAGAGTTACTCAAACATCAGAGTGGATCTACTGTAATGTCACAGATGTAATGAGCAGGTCGACAGGAAGTGTCCCCCGAGGTGTAAACAGAGTTTGTGCTAATGTCAGCGGTGAGTCAGCAGTCATCACTACACGCACACAGTTACCTGGATGAGCAGCTGCTGGCTGGGTGTGTTTGTTTCGGTCAGCTCTGCAGACAGAGAGGGGCACTGTGAGAAGGCGGCTGTGGGCAGAGACAGGAAGGAGCCGTCGTCTTCACCATCACTCATCAGGAAGTCCACTGAGCTCGCTGCGGGACACGAGGGACAGACAAACAGCAGCAGGTGAAGGACATGCTGACGGACACACTTCCTTCGTATGATCAACGTTAAAATATACTCTTCCTGTCAGCCCGACCTGCCGTCAGCCGATCACTGCTGCACACACATAATCACTCTGGGTCCAGGTCCAAAGTTCTGGACTCAGTCCGTCCTGACTGAGGACAAACATTCAGTCTGACCTTCAGCTGCTGCTCTGACAGCTGCAGGCTGATGCTGACTGCAGGTGGAGGTAAACAAACTGACATCATCTACAGAAATACTGACATGTTTGTACAACTACGACCCAAAGATCCTGACACGTTTAAAATAAAGCCAGTCGACAACTTAAATAAGGTTTTAATCTTTTCCACTTTTTCAGCATCAGACTTGTTCAAACTAAGGCTGCACGACACGAGGAAAATATGCAGGAACTACAGTTAGATATATATCAGGCCAATAAATCATCTGCCAATAATGAAATGTTATTATAATTATGCACTATTTCAATAATTAAAATTAAAGCCGATAAATGAAACTATTAACACAAAGCCAGACTGCTTTACTTGACTTAACAAGGGCAGCATCTACACCCCGACACAGTGGGTGGCGCTACATGTACCTTTAAACTTGGGTTGTGAGACGCCAACAAACACAGAGAAGAAGAAGAACATGTGCAGCACGCTGTCTAGAAGACAAAACGTGGCAGTGTGGTCATCTTTCACAGCTCCAGAGGAAGACAACAGGACTGTGTCGACGGTCTGACCTCTGACCCCACAACACCCACCAGATCAACAAACTTCCTGCCCTGAACTGAACGCAGACAGCACCAACAGTCACATGTCTGAGTGCAGTTTTCTATGAACACTTTTAAATGATTAAAAAAAGACAAACACACTTTTTGTTCATGATGTGTTTATCGCACAAGTTGACAAGTTAAAAAACTGATTTCTGATTCAGATGATGAGTTTCACCACACTCACACAGACACACAAATAATCAGCACGTCAGAACTTCCAAACAACAGTGTGGAGGTGTTTTGGGAGGATTCAGCTGCTGCAACAGAAAGCAGGAGAGCAACTTCAGACAGATGAATTCAAACTGTCGCCCTGATGAGAACTGCAGACTGAAACCAGCCCGTCCCGTTAACTGTACGATTGTTCCTGGATCAGACCTCCTGATGTCGGTGTGTGTAAATCTCTTAAGGAGAAAAGAGTGAACAGAATGAAATCAGTAAGCAGATTGTTGGTGAGATTACCGAGGTCAACGTCCAGAAAACTAGAAACAACCTCAAACTGTTTCCTTCCTCTCCTCCTCCTGCTCCTCCTGCTCCTCCTCCTGCTACTGAGGAAACCTGCACTCCTCCTCAACACCACAGAAACCAGTCTGACCAGATAACAGCTGATAACCACCGCCGCTGACATATTAACCTGCTGCTCTGTGTGTGTGTGTGTGTGTGTGTGTGTGTGTGTGTGTGTGTGTGTGGTCACAAGTTTCTTGTACAAGGCCTCAAATCTTATCAACCTGAGAACAATCTGCACTCTGTGGGAAAAATCTGAGCATTAAACAGACTTAACACACACACACACACACACACACACACACACACGGACTTATACCTGCTTTAAACCAAACACTGTTCTGTAGCGACACACTGAACAGTATTACACACACACACACACACACACACACACTCGTGAGAAAACGCTGAGTGTTTGTTTTTCCTGGACGACAGTAAATGTGACACACTGCTGAAAACACAACACACAGATAATTCAAACACTGAGAAGTCTCAACACACACACACACACACACACACACACACACACACACACACACACACACACACTTCAAAAAAATCCCATCCACAGAATAGTTTAAAAAACAAAATGAATGAAAAAATTGAAAACACAAATAAAGCGCTGTGAGGAGCCAAACCATCAGGTAGCGACATCCACAGAAGGGTCAGTGTTATGGGAGTGTTGTAACATGGAGCAGTGACCTCTGACACTCATTCTGACGTCTCCAATCCTCAACATGGACGAAGAGTGACGGGACATTTATGTAAAGCCTCCTGTCAGCAGGTCAGAGCAGCGCCATGTTGGTCACGTCAGACACCGAATGAAACATCAACTCACAGAGGAGACAACAGAATACACTGATATCACATCCAAAAACTCAGTTTTCCCTCGCCCCTTTTACACCGCCACCTCAAGGCGGGAATTTCACGCAGTCACTCTGCCTCGCCATGCCGTATAAAAGGTACAAGGTGGAGCGGACAGACAGAGTCAGCTCTCCTTTAAGGCGGCAGCAGAGGGTTTAACAGCACCGAAACAACGTCTGTTAAAAGGGACAGTTGGCAGGAAGGGAACATGGACATGACGGGTGTGGAGTTTTGACGACGTGTTATGTGTGTGACTCGGGACCACGGGAGACCTAAAAAGTAGCTGATAGCAGTTAGCAGCTAACTCAAACAATGAGGTCCAGGAGCTCCTTACCCTCCGAGCAGAGGACGAGATCAGCCGCCATGTAACAGGGACGCTACATGATTATTGACATGTGACGTCATTGTTATTGTTTATAAAGAGCTGCTGACACGTGTGTTATATGTCACACTAGAGGCTGACGCTGTTGTGTTACATGTCACGCCTCTTTGGATTCTGTGATGTCATCACGCTGTCTGTAAACACACACTGGAGCGACATGATGCCGCTGTTGTTTGGTTCTATGTAAACATGTAACGGAGACATAAAGACGGGACGTTGTTGCGACTCTGTGGCGCCATCTGTGTAAAAAGGGCTTCTGTCTACACGTCGACACCTCTTCGCCCTCGCCTCTTTTAAAAAGGATCCGTTTTCAGTGACCTCGAACACAGTCTGTGTTTTATAAAGAACCAAAACACACAGAAACTATCACATTAATATTGTCACAGATTCTGAATCTCACTGAGTTACTGTTGTTGTTCACAAACTAAAGAAATGTTTCTTCAGTTTTTACTGAATACTTGAAGCAAACTGTGAAACTATATCATTTATTTTGTTGCAATACTGTTTTCTTAAACTGATAGTTAAATGAACATATATATATATATATAAATTCACTAATTTGTCAGATCATCAAGAATATTGTTATCACAACTATATCCTAAAAATATCCTGATACTAATATATATATATATATATAAATTCACTAATTTGTCAGATCATCAAGAATATTGTTATCACAACTATATCCTAAAAATATCCTGATACTATTTTAGGGCCACATCGCCTATTCAAGAACATATCGACTAATCAATAAACCAATCGAGTGGAAGGTGGCAGCCCTACTATTTTGTTGATTAATCAATTCAACATTCTGTCAATAAAATGTCAGAAAACAGTGAAAAAGGTGACGTCTTCAAACGTCTGATTTTGTCCAACCAACAGTCAAAAATGTTCCGAAAACAGCGACAGACAGAAAAGTGTTGGACGAGTTGGCTTCATAAAAGACTAACAAAGAATCAACTGTTGAAACAGTTTCTGACTGATCCTGTCAGCTGTGAACAAACCAAACCTTTTCATGATTGACACGACGGCCGGGAGGAAAATGATCTTTGATAGAAACAGAGAATAAACTCAGAATAATGAGACGAACACAGTCCGAGCAGAAACAGCAACTCTCTGTGAGTCTGTGACAAAAGCTGCAGTGTTGTTGTTAACCTGATCTGTCGTCTCCTGAGAGTCCGACTGTAAAACGATCAGCTGAGAAAAACACACACACACACAGAGCCAACAAACACACACACAGATAAACAAACAAATAAATAAACATGATGTGATCTCACCTGTTCGTCTACGCTCACACACACTCAGGTTTCCTCTGCTTCCTCTCACTGCTGAGCTCCATTCATTTCTAACAGGTATGACTCACCTCTACACACACACACACACACACACACACACACACACACACACACACACAGTCATGCCAAAAATGCAGCCACGCTGGTGTTTTCTGTTCCTCCTCCTCTGCGACAGACGTCTGACTCACCGTCCAATGAGATATCTTTCTTCCAGAGCTCCTGCAGGCAGGGGGCGTGGCTAAGGTCCCAGGTCTTTCTCGTGCTGAACATGACCGCCGGGCTGAGCAGAGCGCTGGACCGCTGGACCGGCTGCAGACAAACACACACACACACATACACACACACACACACACACACACACACACACACACACACACAGAGGAAAACAGAGCGTCACACCTGGGCCTTTCAGAATAAAGCTGACATGATTAAAAACAGTCCTGTGAAGGAAGTGGAGTTTTCTCTTTATAACAGCAGCTCTGCAGAACCCTGTTCACATGTTTATGTTACCTGAGGGCCACCGTAGGTTCACTGCAGGGTGGGGGAGGGGCATTTAATCTGCAACCTCACAGGTACATGTTACTGAATCCTACACACCCAACCAGGGACGTCAGTTTCTGTTAATTCTGCTCTCAACACCTGTTTACTGCCGACTGACTGGCTCTTTGTTCAGGAAACATAAAAATAAAACTGAGCTTTAGCACCAAATTTAGACGTGAAGACATTTTAATATGTTGTGATGCAAATGTTTTTGGTTTGGTTTTGCCGACAGACGGTTTGTTAGCTGCATTAACATGAAAAAATGGCGCCCAATGCCCATCCTCTGTTCTCTGTTTAGCTAACGTTGGCCTCTGCACTGCACACCAGCTGGTACGGGTGGAAGTTAGCTTGTAGCGCCACTCATTCGTGATTACCGCTAGTAACTGGGATGGCATTGCAGCCATACATGGTGGCAACTCTCTGATCTCCCCCTGGTGGCCACGGTGAGTAAGCAGCTTCATTTTGAGCTGCAAACACCCTTTAGCATTGTCAATTATGTTAGCACAACTATCTGTGCTGACCCTGCTAACGGCACTAACAGAGCTAACAGTGATAACAATGCTAAGGGGGGTTTGTGGCTTTGAGCTGCTTCAGCTGCAAACACATCGGCGCTGCCGCAGTACGTCATGTGCCTCCCCAAGCACACACTGGACGTGTCGCACTGCAGTTCGTCAACAGACGACCACACAAAGTTATTACTGCTTTTACAAAGAGATCGTTAGCTTAAAATGATGTGTGGACTAATTAGCCCACAAAGTCGTCATCATAAAGACCATGCTCTTAAAGATAATTCCTGGTGAGTCACAGCTCTGGAGATCGGCTCTTCAGGGAGAAATTAACTTTAATTAGTGGCTGTTCACACATGATCTGAAGCTAACACACAGGTGGAGGAAGTACAGGTCTGTCAGGTAAAGCAGTAACAGCTTTGTGTGGTCGTCTGTTACTGAGCTGCAACACGACACGTCCGGTTTGTGTTTGGGGCGGCAATCTCACAACAGGTGAGTGGGTCCAGTGTGTCCAGGGCAACACTGTTGGGTCAGGACGGCGTTACAACCAAGTCCCCAGGAATGGTGTTCAGCCGCACGGCAAATTTGTTCCAGTGGCCACTCACGGTATTACAGTGAAAAAAACCCCCACAGTTAGCACCATCTGAATAGAAAACAGCAGATAAGTGCAGTACTGTAAACGTCCATGATGGAGGAGAAGCTCCTGGACCAACTGGTGGTACTCCCCATGATCCAGCCTCTTTTTTAGGGTCTCATGTAACCACACAGATCTCTGTTTATCTGCTGACAGCCTCTCACCCTCAACCAGAGCTACACAATCATAGTTTATATTTGATCGATCTGCTTCCATCCTCTCTGTGTCCGTGATGAGGGAGTACAATCTGTAGGTTTGAACAACTACCCAAGAGCCAGTGCAAATCAGCTGGATGATGTCCAGAGAGATCTGAACGCTGGCTTCATCCCACAGACTACACACACATCGTTATCGTACAGAGATGATTTAAAATCTACACCCTCGTGTCACACAGGTGAGGTCAGCTGTGTTTGATTTAATAAATCACTATCTCCCAACTCGTCTGTCCTCATCCCAATCCTCGACAGCCTCCTGTCCCGTCTCACCTGTGAGAGCCACCAATCAGACGACAGCCTCTACACTGACCCTGTTCCTTTTTGTCTCACCCGTCCATGTCCGCGGCGAGCCTTCAGCTCCAACGGATGGACGCAGCGCTCTCTCTCCAGCCAGCTCTTGTTGATCAGAGTTCCCACCCAGCCCAGCATGCTGCCGCTCCACACTCACATCCTGCGAACTGGTCCCAGTCGGCCATTCACACAGAACCAGTGACCTTCTGCCGAGCTGAGCCGACCCAGATCCACCTGACCTGGAGTCAGTTAACCCGCCTGCGGTCTCTGTCCTGAATATCAGTGGGATTAGCAGCACCTGATCTGAGAGCAGCGCCAGGACGGACGCAGCGTGAACGTAATCTGTTAATCCTCGGAGCAGATGGCCTCGTTAACCCTCGACTGACCGCAGGACGCAGCCTCAGGCCTGGTTTACTATCAGATCACACTAAGAGGTTAATGAATGACTCAAACTCTCACTCACACATTCACCTCTCAGCGGCCACTTTATTAGGTCCACCTGGAACATCTAACTCAGTCCAAAAGTATGGAAGCCCTGAGAGGAAGAACCAAATCTGAGAGTTTATGACTTAAAAAGGGGAAATAAAAAGGTGTCATGGGTGCACCATAGTGTCATCTTCAGATCAACATTTTAATGTGTCCAATACTTCGGTTTAAGACCAAATACCTGCAGAATTGATGACGCTCATCAGCCTCAGCTGGACTCTGTGTTTAGTGATAGTTAGCTAATGTTAGCATTAAGGATGTCACTTTTTGTTTTTTTGTGATAGCCTGAAACACCCAGAAACCAGTAATCAGTTGAAGACATAGCGTGTGTACGGCCTTCTATACATCCAAGGCCAGAACGATGCTACTAACAGTAACTGCCAAATGAGTGGCAGCGAGCTCCCATCAGACCCAGATGGTGTTAACACATCTGGCAGCTGACTAACAGCGTCACATGAAAACCTTATTAGCTTTATTTTAATGTGACAAAGTGCTGAGACTAAACTGAGAGGAGCAAAATAAAGCTGCAGACGGACACGTGAACCCTGTCAAAAATATCCTCAGCAATAAACTGATGAACCGTTGACATCTCCAGCTGCAACTGAACATATTTTCATTATTGATTATTTTTATGATTAAAATCAATGAATAACCATCAAAGAGTCAAAAACCTCAAAATCTATAAACATAAAAACACATAAATATGTTTCCTGTGTTTTCAAACATTTGGCAGGATTTCACAACAACTGACTTATTCTCACATCGACGTTCCTTTGATGGTTAAAACCTCCAGGATACGAAGATATTACACACACACACACACACACACACACACACACACATACACACACACACACACGATGCATTGTGAGTGTGGATTAAATCTTTAAGGATACAGTAAGATGCTGGCAGCCACACACACACACACACACACACACACACACACACAGACAGTATGACAGAGTTATTAATGTTGACAGCTGCTGACACATTTCTCCCTGCAGACTGTCCACACTGCAGAGCTCAGCTTCACCTTAACCCCCTCCCCCAAAATATACACACACACACACACACACAGAGTTTGGTCTCAGCTCGGTTGATATTTTCAGTAGATGAGGAACACGTGGAACGATGACTTTTTTCCAGCCAAAGTTTCCAACCAGCCGAATGTTTCCTCAGAGACATCTGCTGCCGTCTGACACCTTCACACTCCACACACACATACACACACACACACTCTGGATCAGTGTGACACAGTTTACAGGTGAAACTGATCACCCAGTGATTCTGTAGCAGGTCACATGACGCCCCCTGGTGGTAAAGTTTACCGTCTTTCTCAGTCTGTTCTTTAACGCTAAAGCAATAAAAATAAAATGGTGGGCTCTCCTGTGGCAAAGTGGTCCCAGGGGAGGGGCCACACTAACAGTGATTCAAGTAGAACTTGATGACGTGGCATATTTGGACTTCCAGTGGGCGTCTGGTGCCCGGGCCTTGAGCCATGGGGCCTAACAGAGAGCTGCTGCTCAGCGGGCCCACCACCTGCAGGGACTGGGACACCTGCAGCTGCAACACGTCTGTCTGAACCACTGCACAACACACCACTACATTTATATTAGAATTAATCTTTTCATTTAAGGATCCACAGAAATGAATTAATCAGTGACTGACATCAGCAGCTGTGTGAGGCTGTGCTCAGACACAGTGACGCTGAGAGCTAAATGCTAACACTGATGAGTAATGTCTTATTTATGGTGTTAGCATGCTAACATTAGCTAATTAGCACTGATAACAGTCGAAGCAAAAAAAACTAGAGACAAAATATATTTATAATTGTTATTATTGTTACAGTTTAAAATTATGGTGCAGATTTATTTTAATTTCTCTCTTTTAAGGTCATTTCCTCCTTAATTTGTTTAACTCTTGTTTTCTTGTTTTTAATTTTCTCTTAACTACTTTCCTAATTTTTCGGGTCATTTCTTTTCTGGTTGCTCATCACCTCATCACCTTGTTTATAAAGAAATGAAGTCAATCAGCTCAGGTTTCAAAGGGTTAAATGATTACTATCAGATCATTATTAATCTAAAGATGAGCAGAGGGATTTATCAATCAACATTTAAACTGAAATATTTCCCCCAACATTTAACGTCACAATATTAAAACACTGACAATAAACCATGAAATCTGCAGCACATCATCTCTGCTCTGTTTCCCTCCTGGAGACACTCTAACATCCTCCTCTTCATCCCTCCTCCCTCCTCTTCTCCTCTAAACTGGGTCAAATCATCTCATTCTGTTGTGTTTCAGTCTCCATGTGTTCACAGTCAAACCCTGTCTGCACTCTCTCTCACACACACACACACACACACACACACACACACACACACCAGAGACTCCACACAGACAGAGTGTTTCTGTAACGTGAGGTAAATCAGATCAAAACAAACTGTTGGTGTGAATGAGCTCATTAAAACATGATCATCAGTGTTTGTGTTATTTTCAATGATCTGATCTGATCAGCGTCTCTTTCTTTGTGTCTCTTCGTCCGTCTGTAAAAACAGGAGAGACATGTTGTGTTTCATCGTCAGCAGCAGACGAGTCTGTTCGCTGAGCCACAGCAGGAGAAACCGCTTCATTAAA